CGAGAACAAGGCGAGGCAATGCGAGGCGATTTTGCGAGAAGAGAAGCACCACTGGCCTTTTCGTGGGTGGGGCGTAAGATCCCGGATTGAAAACGCAACATGAAAGAAGGAAGAAGGCCGCAAAGTGATGTAACGATGGCGAGGACAAGGATAGGAAACCTCCAGAGTCCAGAACAAGAAGAACAAGGATGTCGCGTAAAGGGCGCGAGGCGGACAATGCGCACTCACAATGAGTACTTCCCAGAGAGAACAAGGACGAGGACGAAAACAAGGCTTTACGACGGCCGTGCGAGTCGATGAGTACCATAGATGAAAAGCCGAGTATCGCCGACAATGAGCTGGCCTGGACGGAACGGCAGGAGGGCGGATCAGAGGCCTATGTAAGAGAGGACAATAGCATTAGCAAATTACGAGAGTACAATGAAGGTACGAGACGGGGGGAGAAGGTAGGTAAGAGCCACAGCGTTGGCAGGGCGGAATAGAGGCGGGAAGTGAAGATCCGACACGGGGCCAACAGCTAGGCAGACCCGAGGCTGAGATGAAGACGGACGCGGACAGCGCTAGCTTGCATTCCAGTCATTTCCGACGACCGACGGCTGACGACCGGGGGGCGGAGAGGCCTAGGAACATTAAGCAGGCTATAATTAACCAGTTTACCTTGACCTAGGCACTTGTACCTTGCAACTGTGGGCGATACGACACGACGAGACGAGGCGAAACTAGTTGGCGTTGCGGCATGTATGTGTTAACGATACCGATACCTCACACAATGCCGACAATTCGATCTCCGCGAAGCTAGCCAGCACGGAGGCCGAGGCGCGGGGTGAGAATGGTAGCGACATCGATATCCGCCACTCGGTCGCGGCTTGTCCGTCTCGTTGCTCCTCTCGGTCCGTGAAGCCAGCACCGAGTGAGAGAGTATGCCCAGCACAGCGGCCCACAGCCGCGGCGCAGGGCTGAGGCAACTGTGCGGCCCAGCGCAGCAGGCTCCTCAAGCAGTGCAAACTCCGAGTCGAGGTCGGTGCAGCAACACAGGAATACAGGATTCAAGCTGTCGAGACGGATTGTCGAGCACGGGAGTCACTCGAGACCAGGACCGCACGCGCAATTGTCCCATCCCGGGCTATCCCGGGCTCACGGCAACCGATGAGGCGAGACGGATCACCAACCGACAACTCCGACCTCCGACGCAGGTTGCATATCATGATGCTGATGTAATCTATCAAGTTCTCCGCGATACGAGATAAGATGTCCTCCTGTCATAAAATCATCACAATCTAATCTAACTCTGAGATTAGATTCTCGGATGAGTGACGTCACTTCGGCGTTTCCTTTCTTCCTCCTCGCACCAATTTTGGCCAACACATTGGGCAGTGCGACGTCGAAATCTGAGAGTAGGAGGATATGATTTATCAGGGCTGGAAGAGTCAAAGCGGTGTCTGCGTGCCTCTCCGACGTCGCGCGGCGTGAGTTGACTGCGGAGGGAAAAAAAGTTGAATGGACAATGATTACTTCCGTTGTTCCCAGGTGTTGCGCTCTCACTCCAACCTGCACTGCATCGATTTTCCTCAATTCAACGGGCCGGTGCGTAAAGCGTACGGCGTTAAAGCGGTGTAGTAGGCACGACGTCGGCATATTTATGACCGGCGGCTTAGCGGTACATCCGCAGCTCGCAATTTTGGGACACACTCGCCGGGACTGGAGGGTCAATAGGGTCAATTATACTGCGGTTGAGTTGATGGGGCTGTTTCATGTTGAAGTTGACATGTTCAGAAATGACAGAAAATGACCCTGCATCTCTGCCCAAAATTACCACTCCTGGATCGAGCCTCCTCAGGCTTGGGAGATAGCATGTGTGGCTAGCCACAAGCCCGGCGATATTTTACGCGCGATTATGATCTTCGTCATGGATGCAGTGCAACCCAGGTTACCCAATTCTGGAGTCGTCAGCCTCGGGCTGTCGTCTTCCGGCAAATATTTCAGACCCTAATTATCGAACACCAGATGGACTTGGTGCGAACTGGTAGATTAACATCGATTGACAGGGTTCAATTGCTCCGAAGTATTTTGCAAGTCGACAGGTTAGCTAAAATTGTTTAGTATGTCGAATAGGATATCAACGCAGACGAAATGGAGTGTTTGTGCTCTACTATTAAACTAGGGGACAGACCACAACGGTACAACAAGCCTCTGTGGACTATGGGAATCACCTCACTAGCTTGCATCGTGGGAGTGAGCATATGCATTGAGATGGGATTCGATTCCCCAGAGGTATAGCGCCGTACTTCCATTTTTTTTTCTTGCCAGTGGTGAGCTGCGCGTCGGCATTTTCAGCCCTCGGTTGAGAAGCGGTCGACTGACTATGGTTCAGAGCCTGTGTGGACTGTGGGAGAGCCAATTCTATCCAGTATTGAGGAGATGGGGGTTCGATCCCCCCCCCCCCCCCCCCCCCACCGAGGATCCCCGCTCGAACTCTTTTCCTGCCAGTGGTTGGATGTACAACGGAACGATTGCAACAATTACAGCATGCAGACATGCCATGCCAATACAACCAGTCACACCTTAACAAGCGACAACTTAATCCCAATCAGCAATAAGGTTCACCGATGCGATGAATGGAAGGATCCTGCCAGCATACCGCCGCAGATCAGAAGAACAAGAACAGAAAATGAGATCCGATTGGCGGACAAAGACTGAACAAGAACAACATGTATAGTACTTACCTCCATAATTGATTAGGGTAGGCGCAAGACGCCGGGGTTGTGAACCTTGTTTAATTTGTGTTGGCTTTCTATTCTAATCCATCCATGGCTACATTGTCCAGTAATTTCGTTGTTCTTTCGTTGTTCTCGTTTTGGTTTGGTAAGGTTTCTCAAGAACCCCGAGTCCCCGACGTTGAACTTGGGGGCGGGCGCCCGGGCCGGGATCCGAGAATTGAACAAGGACAAGGATCATCGTCACGAGGATCCCAAACTTTGGCGCCGCCGGCGGGTGGGTGGGTGAGCGCAAGGCAAGACGCCGCTGGCTCTAGATCTAGGCCATAACGAGAATGAGAACAAGCCTCATAGGATACTTAAGCGATGTTAATTATTATTATAATGACAAGAGAAGCGGCGCGAGGAGACAAGGACTCGGGAGGGCATCGTGGACACAAGAGCCCCCCCGCTTGCCTGCCCGCCCGAGTCAGGACCCAGTATCCGACCCGACCCAGAATGAGAACGAGAACAAGAACACCGCACAAGAAATTTCAAAATTGGCGTTCGGTATCGCGGTGGTTGCCAGTTCGAGCACAAAACATAACGATATCGCGATCGTGGGCCCAAGACACTGTTGAACTGATAGGCAGCCCAGAATCAGAATGAAAGAAGACCGATGCGATGCAGCGATGTCAAGAACAAGAATGGCTCCCGTCGGTAGGATTGACTCCGCCGATTGCGGCTATGTCCGACCGCAGAACAAGGATCCGCGATGTCGACAGCGAGTATGCATTGAAAACATGTGAGAAGCAATGGCCGCGAGACCCCCAATGTTGATAAGTAGCCCAGAACAAAATAAAATAACCCCGAGGGGGTGATGTCGACAAGGCAATAATTTCCCCTTTGTCGATTGAAGCTGTGCAGAAATATGGCACAACGTACGAGTCCAGGCCACCAGAGTACTTACACGTGAATGAACACTGAGGCTCAACAAGCAACACATACCCTCCTCTGCAGATCAGAAGAACAGAGAACAGAAGCCAAAATCCGTCGCTGAAGCTGAATGAGCAAGAACAAGAGCATTTACCTACATTGGGTGGAGTCGATAAGAGATAAGATGTCCTCCTGTCATAATCTAATCCAACTCTGAGATTAGATTCTCGGATGGGTGACGTCACTTCGGCGTTTCCTTTCTTCCTCCCCGCACCAATTTTGGCCAACACACTGGGCAGTGCGACGTCGAGATCCGAGAGTAAGAGGATATCATTTGTCAGGGCCGGAAGAGTCAGTCAAAGCGGTCTGCGTGCCTCTCCGACGTCGCGCGGCGTGAGTTGACTGCGGAGAAAAAGTTGAATGGACAATGATTACTTCCGTTGTTCCCAGGTGTTGAACTCCCACTCCAACCTGCACTGCATCGATTTTCCTCAATTCAACGGGCCGGTGCGTAAAGCGTTGTACGGCGTTAAAGCGGTGAAATGGGCACGACGTCGGCATATTTATGACCAGCGGTTTAGCGATACATCCGCAGCTCACAATTTTGGGACACGTTCGCCGGGACTGGAGGGTAGGTCAATAGGGTCAATGATACTGCGGTTGAGTTGAAGGCGGGGCTGTTTCATGTTGAAGTTGACATGTTCAAAAATGACAGAAAATGACCCTGCATCTCTGTCCAAAATTATCACTCCTGGATCAAGCCTCTTCAGGCTTGGGAGGTAGCATGTATGGCTAGCCACAAGCCCGGCGATATTTTACGCGCGATTATGATCTTCGTCATGCATGCAGTGCACCCAATTCTGGGGTCGTTAGCCTCAGGCTGTCATCTTCTGGCAAATATTTCAGACCCTAAATCATTGAACACAAACAGACGGACTTGGTGTGAGCTGATGGCGGGGAGAAAACCAAAGATTAGCATCGACTCGATGGGATTCAATTGCTCCGAAGTTTTTGGCAGGTCGACAGACTCAGAGGCTAGCTAAAATTCGTGTTTAGTATGCCGAATAGGATATCAAGTACAACGCGGACGAAATGGAGTTGTGCTCTTTACTGTAACTATTAAACTACTAGAGGACAAGCTCACAACAGAGTACAGCATGCCTCTGTGGACTATGGGAGTCACCTCACTAGCTTGCATCGAGAAGCTGTAAATGAGCATATGCATTGAGGAGATGGGGTTCGATTCCCCCAGAGGTACAGCGCCGTACTTCCCTACTTTTTTTCTCGCCAGTGAACTGCGTCGGCATTCTCAGCCCTCGGTTCAGAAGCGGTCGACTGACTAGAGGACAGGCTCACAACAGAGTACAGCAAGCCTCTGTGGACTATGGGAGTCACCTCACTAGCTTGCATCGAGCAGTTGGATATGAACATATGCATTGAGGAGATGGGGTTCGATTCCCCCAGAGGCATAGGGCTGTACTTCTGTACTTTTTCTTGCCAGTGGTGAGCTGCGCGTCGGCATTTTCAGCCCTCGGTTGAGAAGCGGTTGACTGACTATGGTTCAGAGCCTCTGTGGACTATGGGAGTCACCTCAAGCCTGTGAGCCAATTTGAATTATCCAGTATTGAGGAGATGGGGGTTCGATTCCCCCCAGAGGCATCCCCGCTCGAACCTTTTTTCTTTCTTTCCTGCCCGTGGTTGGGATGTCCAACAGAACGACTGCAACGATTACAGCATGCAGACATGTCATCCCATGCCAATACAACGTGCGCGCCGCCAGTCACAGCAACGTTATTTTAACAACGCGAACCTAATCAGCACTGTTGACAAGGCTCGCCGATGCGATGAATGGAAGGAGTGTGCCAGCATACCGTCGCAGATCAGAAGAACAAGGACGGAAAATGAATAGAACCCGAGATCCGATTGGCGGACAAGAACAAGAATACCGTAGTATAGTACTTACCTCCATAATTGATACGGGCGGGCACAAGACGCCGCCGCGGTTGTGAACCTTGTTTCATTTAATTCGCCGGTGCGCATCCACGGCTGCATTGTCCAGCAATTTCGTTGTTCTTTCCTCTTGTTCTCGTTTTGGTGTGGGGTGGTTTGGTCTCTCAAGACCCCCGAGTGCCCGGCTTCGAGCTTGGCGGGCGGGCCGGGATCCGAGACGAGACGAGAATTGAACAGAACAAGGACAAGGATCTTCCATCGTCACGCGGATCCCAAACTTTGGCGCTGTCGGCGGGTGGGCGCAAGGCAAGACGCCGCTGGCTCCAGATGAGATGGGATCTAGGCCGGAAGAACAACAACAACGAGAACAAGCCGGGTAGGATATAGGCGATGTTAAGTATTATTATTGTGAGAAGAGAAGCGGCGCGGGGAGACAAAGACTCGGGCGGGTGTCGTGGGCACGCTTACCTGCCTATCCGACCCTGAACGAGCACAAGAGCATGACCGCCGACCGCACAAGAAAATTCAAAATTGCGACCAGCATGCAGCGTAGCGTGCGGTCCCGGCTGCCAGTTCGCGCGCGCGCAAAACATAAGGACGGCGATATGCATCGCGATCGTGGGGGCAAGACGCCGTTGGACTGATACTACACTGATAGCCTAGAATATCAATCAGAATGAATGACTGAAAAAAGACCTATGCGATGCAGCGATGGCGAGAACAAGGATGGATGACTCCCGGCGGCAGGATTGCTGTCCATGGGCGTAAGATCCCGCCTGGATCAAGCCTGGATTGATGACGAATCCGGAGGAGGAGCGATGCACTGTAGGACAAGGACAAGGATACCTCCAGAACAAGAAAAACTAAAGAGAAGAACCAAGGATGGTGCTTAAAGTGAGAACAAAACAAAGATGCAGGTACCACCGGCATTGCCGACATTCGAATGTCCGTAGCCGTTGGTTCGTGGGCGCAAGACGCCGCGGAATCAATGATAGCCCAGCCGCTGAATTGATACCCCCGATGTCGAGAGGCTCGAACAGGGATCGTTTGATCGTGATTTCTGTGCGCGGCGCCGGGCTCTGGAATCTGTATTATCGTTATAATAATAACAATGCACTGGCAGCGGTGTCGAGATGAGAACAGAACAAGGATCGCGTCGGCTGTGCAGAACGTTAACGCTAACAAGATCAGGAAAGTTAAGATTCAGAATCGGGATCCGAGCAGGACGAGCGTCCTGCAGCTGAGATTGCGAGAAGCCGTCGTCGTCGGTTCGTAGGTGGGTTGGGCGCGAGACGAGACGCCGAGAAGGAAACGGACGCGTACGTACGTAGAGGTTGGAATTTAACCCATGGCCACCGTCCAGTTGAACAAAGAACCAAGGATGTCGCTTAAAGTGAGAACAAACATGTACCATTGCCGATGGCATTCCGTAGCCGTTGGTTCGTGGGTGCCGCTGAATTGATAGCCCCGGTACTGATGCAGCGATGGCGAGAAGCTCGTTTGATTTCTGCGCGGCGCCGGACGCCGCCGATTCGGGATCTGAATATTATAATAATAACAACGCAGCGGTGTCGAGATGAGAACTGAACAAGGATCGCGTCGGCTATGCTCATGCAGAACGCTAACGCTAACAAGATCAGGATTAAGATTTAGATTCAGAATCGGGATCCGAGCAGTCCTGCAGCTGAGATTGTGGTTCGTGGGTCACCTGGGTGGGACTGGGCGCAAGACGAGACGAGACGCCGAGAAGAAAACGGATGTAGAAGTAGGAACCCAGGCCCACCCGACCCTGCGCTGATGTCGAGAAGGTGGAACAATTTTTGGCAGGTGCTGTATGCGGTACAATAGTAGCCGACGTGTGAGGGGAATACAATAATCGTCGACGTCATTGGGGCGGGGCCTGAGGCCTGGAGCGCACAATGAGTGACACTAGGTGGTGTTTCAAGTTGTACCAAGGCAAGGAAGGACGAGGCTCGAGGCTCGAGGCTGGGTTGGGGGAGAACTTGAAGGCCACGGGCGAGAACGAGGTGAAAAATAACGTTAGTGCGGCATTACGGCGGCCATGCGACGTTGGACCAAACGGAAAAGGAGTACCGCCGGGTGGACCCGGAAGATTAGACATGGGAAAGGCGAAATTACGGGAAAGTAAAATGAAGGCCCAGACCCGGGGCCGGTACGATGATCAGGGGGGCGAGCACCTACTACCGAGGCCACGCCTGAGGTAGACTGACGCGCCGCACGGACAGCTAGCCTGCTTGGACTGAAGTCCGAAGTTTGAATTTAAGTTCCAATTTAAGATATGACAATGTCCGACGCCCGACCCGAGAGGAACAGCGAGCCGTATAATTAACCGTGGTGTAATAGTACCTTGACTGGTACCTCGAAGCTGTAACTTGACGGTGTAACTTGATGATTTGGGTTGCAGCCGTAACTTGAGCAATGAGCGAGCGAGCGGAGGGGGGGTTGTAACGAGGACGAATTTAAGGATACTACCAAACGAGATGGGACGGGACGATACGACACGAGAGGTCGATGACGAGACGAAACAAATGAGCTGGCTTGAACTGTAACGCCACGACATCAGACATCTTACACAGTGCCGACACTCGGCGACGGCAGCCAGGAGGCCGAGCCCAAGGGGCGGGTCGGTCGCGGCTCGGGTCAGGGCGAGAGTGGTATGTGGCGAGATGACATGACATATGCAGCACCGAGTTCCACCGAGTCCCGAGGCCGAGCAGTGATAGAGTACGCATATGCCAGCACCGCCGCCGCCGCAGCGGCGGGAATTGAGCGGCTCGGCCCATGGGCCGCACGCATCGTAAGTACAGGATTCAAGCTATCGACATGATAGGGGTGAGGCGGCCCCGAGTGTGCTCGGTATTGTGTATCGTGTATCGTTGCTCCTCCGGGTCCGCGAAGGCAGCACCGAGGCCGAGGCTGAGGCGCAGGTCGGTCGGGTCGGGTCGGGGCGAGAGCGATATGTGGCGACACTCATTGACACTCGCGGCGTGTCTCGTCACGGTCGTCTCGTCACTCCTCCCGGCCGCACCCCGTGAAGGCAGCACCGAGTGATAGAGTACGCCCAGCACCGCCGCGGCCGCAGCGGCGGGAATTGAGTGTAATAGCGACAGTCAGTCGCGGCGTGTCTCGTCACGGTCGTCGCGTTAACGTTGCTCCTCCCGGTCCGTGAAGGCAGCCACCAGTGATAGAGTATGCATATTGATAGAGTGCGCCCAGCACCGCCGCGGCGGCGGGAATTGAGCGGCTCGGCCCATGGGCAGCGCAACAATTGGCGATGCAAACTCACAATACAGGATACAGAATTGAAGCTGTCGAGATTTCAGTATCTGTCGAGCACGGGAGTCACTCGAGATCTCACCAGCTGCACCGCACGAGTGCCCTCCGGCTTTCGCATCATGGCAATTGACGGGACGCACGACGGATCACCATCCCGAGGGCGACAGACAGGCAGACAGGCGACTCCGAGCTCCGAGCTCCGATCGCGCAGGGCAGGTCCGCATATGGGCAACGCGACAGCGCGACATGGGTGCATGGGGGCAGATGCGCAATCAGTGGGCACATGGGATCAAAACGCTGGGAATCACAGGCGAATCGCGTCCCGACGTCGGGTACGCAGCAGCGGGTCGACGATGGGCATGGTGATGCAAGCGAGGGAGTGCATCGCCTCTAACTCTGAGGGTACAATGGTAGAGGGAGTACAATACAGAGGAGAATAGAATGACGCAGATAGAATGGAGGGGGACAATGGGTGGACCCAAAGTGGACCCCGAAACGGATTGACGTGGGCGTGAATGCGGAGCACAGACTGAAGGGGAAAGGGGAGATCCAGATCTCGGGTGGAGAATTGCGTGATCAATGACAGGATCGGAAACGATCATCAGCAGGACCTTACTGGGATGAATTGACAGTGCCCTAAGCACTTATTTAACCATCGCCCTGTGAGGTGGGGCCATACCTTCGTCTGCCTGCCAGCCAGCCTTTACTAGCTTTACTAGTTTTTTGCACTCTCCACTTATCTTACTAGAAGATGGCTCTTGTCGCAGCACCCTCCTCGTGGACCCACTCGCTGCCCTACCACCACGCCGCTCACCACCACGCCGCACACACCCCCCTCCGCCCCCAGAGCGCGACTTGGAACACCAAGTTCCCCTCGATGCCCTCTGCATCCACCTCTTACTCTTCACCCAAACCCCGCCTCCGCCTCGCGGTCCAGGTCGTCGTCCCCGCGGTGGAGGAAAAGCGGCCCGCGCCCCCGCCCCTGCGCTTCGACCCCTTCGCGGACGAGCCCCCCGTCGCGAGCACCTCCCAGCTCCCCCCCTGCGACCCAGAACACCCCCCCACGCGGGCGCACCCCCACGCCCCTCTCCATCACTGTTCCCCCCACCAGCAGCGCCCCACCCCCGACAGGCCGCCGCCGCGCCCCGTCCTTCTCCGCCGGCTCCGGCGCCGCCCTCCCGCGCTCCCTCGGCGGCCTCTCCAGCCTCACCCGCGCCGCCCA